TTATTTATTTGACAGAGGGAGACACAGCGAGTGAGGGAACACAAGCAGGGGGAGTGGGAGAGGGAGAAGCAGGCTTCCCGCGGAGCAGGGAGCCCGACGCGGGGCTCGATCCCAGGACCCTGGGATCATGACCTGAGCCAAAGGCAGACGCTTAACGACTGAGCCACCCAGGCGCCCCTAAAGATTTTATTTTTAAGTATAATCTCCACACCCAACATGGTACTTGAACTCACAACCCTCAGATCAAGGGTCGCATGCTCTACTGACTGAGCCAGCCAGGCATCCCTAGACTTTAACAAACATACTGACATTTAAATTCCAAGGAGAAAATAATTTTTTCTTTAATTAGAATCAGTGGTTTAATCATTTTGTATTTATGCAAATGACAATATGCTAAAGCAGAGGTCCGCTGTCAGAGATGTCATTTTATCATCCTTATCTCATTTCAAGACTTCCTTATTCTGTTTCACACTTTCAATAAATTTAAGCTCCCTACTAAAGTGACCATCACTATGTCTCTCCCAATCCCACCCTCTCTTACCCCCCGCCCCCACCTCACATTTCTCTTTCCTTCACTCAAAATATACTTGGTCAACACCTGTTTGCCAGGCACTGTGCTTGCTCAGGGCACTAGGTAAGTCAGGCAGTACGTTATTCTCCAAGAGGTCACTGTGGCAGCAGGACAAGACACAAGGCAGTAAGTGCAGTGAGCACAAAGAACTGACATAATGGAGGGCATGAGAAGGGAAAGAGGAAGGTATCAGGAAAAATGCAGAGAAGGGGCACTGGAGGAGGATCCTCAAGGACGAGTTTCGACAAAGGTCATCTTGGACAATCTAAGAAACTTCTCTACACTTAGGAAACAGATACAAGAATACAAAATCCCAGGTATTCTAGTCTTTGCTTGCTCTACTCACTCCAATACTAACTATGCTTCTAATTTTTGTTTTTTAATCTTTTATGTTGAAATAGCTTCACGTTTTCTCTACTATCAAGAGAGCCCATGCCATGTTTAAATTACTCTGATGCAAAAAGAAATGCCTTGTGTCTAATTACTATTTCATATTAATTTTTCATTAAGGAAATAAGATGCTTCCAAGTCTAGACTTAGGAAGTATAGTGCATATTGAAGAGATTAAACTAAGCCAATATAAATGTTAAGAGGATAACAATTCTATATGACTTTAGAAAAACACTAATAAATGTATCCAGGAAGAACCATGAGGATATTTGTTCCAGCATTATTTATAAAAGCCAAAAACCAAATGCAATCCTATCAAAAGGGACTGGAGAAACTATAGTACATCCATATACTGGGCGTCCTATACAGCCAAAGTAATGAACTAGGTAAGTATCAATTTGGATAGACCCATAGCTGAGGGGAGAAAAAAAAAAGTTGCAGAATGATATTTACAGTATGATACCATTTAGATAAACTAAAAGCAACACTACCTATCTCTATGGTAACAAAAGTACAGAAAACTGTACTGGACCAATATATACCAAACTTACCGAAGTAATTAATTGTTTCAGTGAGGGTGCAGGGTCAAGGTCATGGTGGCAATGGGGAACAGAATGGGAATGGTTATTAAAGAAGAATCTATAACACTATATTCCTTTTAGAAAGAGGTAATGTGCTTGTATATTATTTGCTCTTTTTAAGTGTGCACATAGATAGGATACTAGAAGCAAACATATACAACTGTTAACAGTGGTTAATTCTTCATGGTGGGAATATTTTCTCCATTACTCTTTTCAAATCACATCACCACCCCACTCGCCAATCCCGTACCAGAAGTGGGATCACAGCAATGTAAAAAAGCTAGAAGGAAACAACCAAGTGTCAACAGTAGTCAACTTTGAGAGACTCCCGCATTAATATTACTCTGACTTTCCAAAATTTCTTACATTGTGTAAGTTAAAAAATTATAAACAGTAGCAAACATTCTAGAACAGACCTAATTATACATAGGTTATCTAATGCTGAACCATTTTAAGGAAAATCAACTATTTTATCTGATCTCAAATCTCACTCCTGTTTAAGTAAATTCATTACCAAAAAAAAACAAAAAACAAAAACGAAAGATCTTCAGGTTTTAAGGCATGTGATCTTCAAGATCAGTTACATATAGGAATATATTGCTAATCACAACTGCCAAGAAACTTCCTGATGAGTGGGAAACACTAATGTTTAGCCACTAGATGGTTTAATTCAAGAGACTCATTCTATTATATGGAAAGTACTTTGGCTTGAGGACACAAGAACTTAAAATTCATTCTTGATGCTTAAAATCCTGCTTCTGCTAGATGTCTCAAGCGTTAACACCTAGTCAAGCAACATCTATGGCAGAGGTCCCCAATGCTAAAGGTCAAGAAGCACCTGGAGAGCTCTTTGAGAGCTCTTTGAAGACAGAAGTGCTATGCTAGAAGGTGCCAAGTGTTACGGAGAAAAACCCAGTGAAGGGGACTCTGGATAGGAATGCTGGGGTGGGGGCTGCAGTTTTAAATGGGATGGTCAGGGAGGGCCTTATGGAGAAGGTGTCGATTCTAAGGAGGCAAGGGAGGAATCATTCAGTATCTAGGGGAAGAGTGTCTATACAACATGAACAGCCAAGTTCAAAATTATCAGCAGTTTGCTTGAAATGTTTGAAGACCAGCAGAGAGCCTGGTGAGGCTGAAGCGCAGTGAGTAAGGAGAAGCCTAGAGGTGAGGTCAGAGAGGTGATGAGCATTTGTGGGCCCTTCTAAGGCTATGGATTTTGAATCATTCTGAGGTGGGAAGCCAGAGACTTAGCTAGAGCAATGATATATACAATCCCTCTTTAAGATTTTTGTTTTAACAAAAGCCTTATCTCCTTAAAAAAAAAAAAGGTGAAGATGGAAACAGCTCGATCAGGTCACAGCACCTCAGTGCTGGGGACAAAACGAAGGTCTGGAGCAAAATGAAGTGGGCTGTCTCTCCTACGGTAAGAATGAAGCTTCAACTATCTGATGTTGCAGGGAACCTCAAAGGTGTTAAGTCAAGAATACAGCTAGGGTCAGAAGAGCTTTAAATGTTTACCAAAACGGTCTCTGAAATATTAAGGTGCCTCCCTCCTGGTACAAGGCCTGGAGATTACATTTGGAATCAATACAGTTTCCACACTGTTTTCAATTAAGTCAAGATTTTGGCTTGGTTGAATCCAAGAGTACATAACAGAGAGCGCCAAAAAGAACTTGGTAAACACAGTCTTAGTAACAAATGGGTTGGAGCCCAGTCCCCAGTGCCCCTGCTAAGTATAAAACATCATCTGAGCTCTGAGACAGAGGGCAAAATCAAACTGGAAAGAGCAAAGTATTAAAAGGGACTTGAGTTTTGGTCCCAACCCTGCTATTAACTGCAGGCCTTGGCTAGATCGCTTCACTTCTGTGGGCCTATGTCTTTACATGAAAATAGCTGGACTGTATGATCTCCAAAATCTCTACTCTTATTCTGTTAATAAAGGGACTATTAGCTCTAACAATCCAGGATTTAATAACAATGGCCAGAGCTCTGACAACAGAGGACTTTGGGGAAAATGCCCAATAGTTAAGTCCATAAAGAAAATTAATTCTGCAAGGCATATTTTTAGGCACAGAAATATTCTGGAGCATATAATACAAAGCTAACAACATGCTAAAGTACCACGACGAGACACAAAATCCACAGACTATTCCAGAGTTGGCAGAGACAGAGTTTATAACCTTGCCTTTGAGGAACAAATTCAGCCAGACCAATTCTACCCAAAAAACAATCTCCAAACGACAATGATCTCTTCCTATACCAGGCTTTTTCAACTGTTAGAAAAATACGCAAAGCAAATAAACAGAAAGAGTGTATCTCCTTTACATTTGCTCTTGAGCAAGCTGTGGGGAGCGTTTCTGGCAAAGCCACTTACATTCTGGATAACGATAGGAACAATGGCACTTTGGACAAGGACGGGAGGAGATGGAGAAAGAACAGGCTAGGAATTCAGAGAGGGAACATTCTCAGGACTGAGCGTGTTTGCCCTGGCATGTTTTCCTTCCTTTTGGCAATGCTATCACCACACTAATGAATACGTCTGCAACAAGAGAATTTTCCCAACACTCGTTTCCATTCAACCACGAACTATTTTGAAGCTATTTTAAGAAAACATATTTTGAAAACTGCTTTTATGAAAACATAAGTAGAAGCAGCAAGTCATTTTTAATCTACATGATTTAAGATTTTATTCACTACCAGACATTTTCTAATCATATATATATTTCAGTGATTTGACCAGATAAAATTCAGAACTCCTTCGACTCTTTTAGACTATTATTCTCTGGCATGACTCAGGCACTTATAAAAGGGAGGACATTAGGAACAAAGGTTTAGCTAATAAGTTCACCACCTCTGTTCTCTATCTTTCAGCAGAAGGGAATCAGGTGATACATAATCCTGGAGGAGGAATCCAAATCATGCTTAGGTGAGGTTAAAAAAAACTACTTAATTTAAAAAATAACAGATTATTAAAATAGAAAAATGTGCCATGCTTTTGCTTGTTACACTCCAATACTCAACTGTTCTAGAATAACAAATCTTTTGACCCATAGGCTAATAGAGAAAAGTAACATCATGCTGAGTCATGCAGAAAACTGGTTTTTATTTCAGCCTGTTTCTGTGTCTAATCCCAGGAAGAGATCTGTACAAAGTTGTACCTGCTTTCGAGTAACTTCTGATATTGGGGTCAGTATGTAAATAAAAGTGGCAAAAAATCACCTTTGTTTTACTTGTGAGGATATTCTTAATGATCAAATTTGTGGACAGAATGAAATACCTAGAGCCAGTTATCAATACAGAAATTTCCTTCAGAATAATCTTGTGAAATGAAAAGTTAAACAAGCGACTCATGAAACAAGGTAAATCTATCCTAAGGTAAGTAGATGAAAAGCACCAAAGGCAAAAATGGTTAGCTCTATCCCAGGGGTAAAATGAGCTTGGACTGAAGATGGTTGAGGCAGTTGTGGCTGATGCAATTTAATTACAAGTTTATGAATTCCTTTGAGAAAATGGTAAGTGAATACATTCAATTATTCTGATATTCCATCTTCACAATAGATGCCCATATAAAGTAGACTATTCAGAAGCAAACTCATTAATTCTATTTTTTAAAGTAGATATAGTTGTTCAAAATATATTTATTAAAGATCGAATCTTATCGCCCCTAGCAGTAGTATCTCGGACTACACGTTTTTTAAGGGTAATAACTTGAATCTCCATTCCTAGCATGCAGGAGGTGACCAGGGTTGGGATGTTTCGGCTAAAAAGGGGGTGGGGATGCCGCCAGCTTCACCAGCAACAGCCATCCTGTCAGCTTTGTGCATGAGCACATGCTCAGAGAGATTTTCATCTTACCTCAGACAGCTAGGCCCAGCCCGTGGCAGCCTGCACCCGGGCAGAAGTCTCTTCAGAGAGCTGAGCCTTTCCTACTCAGGAGAGATGGACCTGGGCCGGTCTCTTCTTGGGTGAGGAACCAAGCAAGGAGCTCACTCTCAATGCCCTGTGTCATGGGAACTTCTGAACTGATCCTGTGTGTGTTCAGGAGATCTAAACTCAACAAGGGGTCCTTCTTTTCTGTTTCTTCCTTTCTCTCTGATAATATGGAATCTGAGGAATGGGCTGGATGGATAAGAAAAGTTCATTTATAACTAAGAAAAGGTGAAGTGTTATCCTTCAACAGCCTAACCCTGCTACCAACCTAGCAGATTACCAAAACCTGCAGCCTTAATCTACTCTCCTGTAGTTTCATTTTTGACAGATATTTAATCTCTGTCCTTTCTCCACAATTTATCTTTCACTCTTCTGATCATTCTTAAAACCACTGTCTGAATCAGGCAGTATTTATTCTCATGGTCAGAGGCAGTAAAGTATAGAACACACGTGGCCACTCTTAGTAAACAAAGTCGTGGTTAGAAGATCAGGCTCCAGTCAGACTGCCTAAGATCTACTCTGTGAGCCTTGGGAAAGTTAAGAGTTACTGAATCTCTTTGCCTTTGCTTCTTTCTTCATAAAGCTAGGTTAATTTAGGTTAATATTGGTATCTACACATCACAGGGCTGTTATGAAGAGTAAATGAATCTATGTACTGCAATTGACCGGCAACCGGCCCACAGTAAGCACTCAAGGTTACTATTAGCTTCATGAGCTCAGGTAAGCAACTTCATCTCACTTTCCTCATCCTAAGAATGAAAATATCTGCCCCTGCCTACTCCTCTCTGAACCCTTTAGCCAACTGTCCAGAGCATTAGAGGCTGTGTTGATTACTGGATATTAGGCTTCCTACAACCCCATCACACTGGAAATAGCAAATACAGTTACTGTAACATTTAGTACTAAAAAGACCATTCTAATTGCATTTGGGATGGGGGCAAAACATTAGACTGGAAACCAGAAGGCAGGTTCTGCAACTAGAATTGGCCCTAGTTAGTAGTGATTTATCTCCACCTTCCCGAGCCTCATTTTTACTATCCTTAAAATAAGGCAAGTGGGTGATATAATCTGTGACGTTCCTTCTAGCAATATGGTCTTCACAACACCAGAAATATGAAGCAAATCTTAAATTGTGGTGAACAAGCTTTTCAAAGGGAACTAAGACATCACTCTTATTTGTTTTTAGAAGAATCACAGTTTAACTAAAGAAAGAGGAAGCCAAGAATACATGTTTTCATTATAACCATCCAAAAAAAGAAGGAACGGAGTTAATGCCAAAAAGATGTCAAAATTAATAACCAGCTCAAAAGCTAGAGGTCACCTACTATAATTAAAGTAGGAACTAATCTAAAGAGCAAGTTAGGTGGAATTTTTATATGGCAAATGGAAAGATTATGTAATAATGAATCGCCAAAGGCAGAATTAAAACTGACATAAGCCAGCTTCAAGAAGGAAATGGACAAATCTTCTGACAGAAGCAAGCTTGTACAGAGGCAAGGCTCTCCTTAGAGGTGGCCTGGGGGAGGGAAAGCGCACTACTATTTTTATTCTGGCCAATAGCAAGATGAAAGTGAATGAATTTATATATTACAGACGTGAACAGGGGTTTTTCCGTTAATAGGGCCAATTTAACCACTAGCTTCTTCCATCACTGAGAACTTCAGCACCTGGCCCCCAAGTCTCTCTCTCGTCATTTTAAGAGCTATCACCCATACAGACCACACTCCTCACACCCTGTCCTCTCAGTTCCCGAAGCTTCTCCTCAGTGTACCTTTCCTCTACCACATCTCATTCACACTGCCAGGACATGCCTTGAACGTTGTCATCTTACAAACGGCTTCACCTCCAAAATCACAGCACCTTCTGCCCACCACACTCCTGACCCTCCCTTTTCTTCCCGCCTACCAGTCCTCCTATCTTCACCCCTCTCCTTGCTTAGTTTAAGATTGAAGAGCTATCGCCATCATTGCTTTTTAACAACCCTCTGCAAATCCTGTGCGCTCTCCCCTCCAAAACGCCCATCTACAACAGGAGGAAACCCATCATTCACATCCGCTGTCCTTGGACTTGAAGGTGCCACTAAACACTCCTTCGTTCACTTGCTCACACCCTCACCTCAATACAGAGCAAGCAATGTTATCAGACCCTGAGGTGGGGAGAAAGAGTATCAGTAGAACAGACCCAGGGACTGCCTTCATAGAGTTTATATCTACTGGGCTAGCAGGGAGGAGAGACACAGTGTACGCACCAACTTTAAGAAGTATGCTCAATTACCTTTTGTGGATTCAACATCACCGGTAATTTTCCTTTCTCCCTTCACTAGTGGCCTGGTCCCCGTTCTCCCATGACTTGTGCATTTTACCATTATTCTGCAAATCTCCCGTTCCCTTTGCTCCTCCATTTCTCACTCTGACTTAAAAACCCTGCCCATTTTCTTCGAGAAAATGGGAGCCAATGGACAGGATTCCTCCTTTTTCCCATCAAAATCCTCCCAGCACACGTGCTCACTTATCCTGCCTCAACAGTTCACTCAAATGCTTAAGGTCTTCCCAACACAAGTCCTCCATTTGTGTTCTGATCTTGTCCTCTCTAACATCTCAAAGGCACTGTACCTTCAATCTTCCTCCTGATCCCCAGCATCACCAAGATTTCCCTCTTTTCTAGACAACTCCCTACAACAAGCACATCAACATCCTTCAGAGTTTCCCATTTCAGAGGTAAAAAATAAAATCTTCCTTTTATCTCCCCCCATTTGTGTGCTTTCCTTCATACAGCCAAACTTCTTCAAAGCAATGTATTCCAGACACCAGAGTTTCTCAATGTTGGCACCCTGATCCAAACCACCAGTATTTCTACTCTTCTACCACAATAATAGAGTGATCATTAAAACCTGCTTAAAACCTTTCAATGATTTTTCCATTGCATTAAAAATCAAATTCAAGCCTTTAACCTGGCCTACAAAGCCCTACAGGAGCTCACCCTGCCTGCCACTTGGACCCTATCTCCTATTTCACTATTTACCCATCCTTCTTTCTTCCTTGTGCATGTTAAGCTCCTATGTGCCTCAGGGCCTTTGTCTTCACAATTTCTTCTGCTTGGAATGCTCTCCTCCCTGATCTTAAAGATGAGGGTTCGCTTATTTTTCCCTTTTCACTTAAACCTCAAGCTTAAATTTACTTTGTCAGAGAAGCCCTTCCTGAACACCTAATCTAAGGTAGCTATTATGTCAATTTCATCGCATCAATTCTCTATAAAGCTATCAGATATTTTAAATTTTTGCTTTATCTTTTTTCCTCAAAGAATGTAAGGGTCAGAGAGCAATTTGTTCACCTCTGTATCTCTAGCACCTAGAATAATGTCCTGCACACAGCTGGTACCTAATAAATATGTGAGGCTGATTAGAAGAAATGGTGTAAAATGTATCCATATTCTGAGAAAGCAGGTTCTGCTTCAGCTGCCAGATACACTCTAAAAAAAAAAACTATCCTGAAAAATTTCATTTTCAGAACAGCAGTAAAAAGGGAACTTTTAACAATGGCTTACATTCTCATAGCATTATCTAAACAACAACAAAAAAACTTTTACAAAACTTTCCTACTAGAACCTTGTTTCTCTCTACTGGAATTCAAAAGCTATAGATCACTACAAAGTAGCAATTATATAACTGAGACAGAAACTAAATTCAAAACCGAAGTCATCAAACTAGAGAAGTATAGAGGTGATCTGAATGGAATTTTGCTTCCTCAGTCTAAGAATTCATTCTATTTGTGGAAATATAATGGTCCAAACAGGCCTCTCTTAAATGACTAACCCCAAACCTTTCAGAAATGACATACCCTACTCCAAATCCTGGTCCACCCCTGACAAGACACCTGAAGAGGTAATTGTACAATGTTTCCATCTAGGTAGACACAAAGTAAAATGGTAAACATTCTATACTCTATAGTTTAGTTATACCATAAAATTCCATTCCAAAAATATTGTGAGGTAATTTCTGGCAATAGTGAATTAAAAATTTATAATGCTAGAAGTGTCTGCTATTCTGACAATGAAAAAGGTTAAATCACCTTCCTCAATTGCTGGCACAAGATATCAGAGTATCTTCTAATTAAGAACCTCTGACAGACTGCGAGACTTCGAAGGTACTCTGACAAGTTATCTAATCTAGTTTCCTTGAAACAGAAAGATCTAAACTATTCTATTTAGAGGATAGCTGACCTAACCATAAAGGCCACTGGTAGAGCTCAGCACAGTATTCCAGCTATTGTTATTGTCCATGACCTTTCCATTTTGTCTCCATTTACTCATATGGTTTGGTAGCTCTTGCTATATGCCATTGGCATCAAATTCCATTGCAGAATGAGTGTAGTTTTTTCCCCTGGCCATTTTATCAACATTAAGCAAACTATTAAACAGTCCCTCCAGAATCTTGTTGTCAACGAACCATTCCTCTTACTCTGCTGGATCATCAAATTTCAATCCAGATGCACAATGCATGCAGCCTTCTCCTGGGAGAGAGTCTTCCTCACTGTTAACGTGGAGATGTACATAGGCAGTATTTCAAAAGTTAGTTTCTAGACTTGTTAGCTGGATCTTACAACATAGTTTTCTATTTTTAAGAAGTATAAGTGAAAAAAAGTATAAGTGGTGACAGAGTTCCCACACTAAGGAAAGGTTAAGGTTATTTACAAAAGATTCTAAAATACTCTATAATAGTTCTATCTGAAATTAGTCAAACGCAGTTCTATTAATATACTACCCAGTAATCATTTAAAATAAGATAAAATGACAAATTCTTTTTTTTTTTTTTTAAGATTTTGTTTATTTATTTGACAGAGAGAGAGCACAAATAGGCAGAGCTGCAGGCAGAGGGAGAGAGAGAAACAGGCTCTCCGCTGAGCAGGGAGCCCAACGCAGGACCCTGAGATCATGACCTGAGCCGAAGGCAGCCACTTAACCAATTGAGCCACCCAGGCGCCCCTAAAATGACAAATTCTTAATTTTCTCTTGAACGCTAGTGTTTAAGTAAAGTAGCTATGGTGTGATGGAGACTATTGTAGATCCCGAAGGGAGACTTCAAGGAATTTTCAAGGCCTTTAGAGGCTGGAAGCCTTAAATCTAGTATTTTATGTCTGTATTTTATTAGAAGACATAATTTTCCCCCTGGGCTTA